GAGTGTTAGCTGCAGACCTTCAGCTTCCTCATCCAGCCCGTCCCCGTCTCCGTCGCTGTTGCTGGGTTACCCAGAGCCCAGGGACAGGGCTGGCTGTGTCAGGGCTGGGGGAGCAGAGATCTGCTTCAGAATGTCTCTGGAATTCTCCGTTTCCCTCGCCTCTCTCTCCCTCTCTCCTCTCTCTCTCAGTGACTCACACACCAGCAGGAATGATTGTTCTTCAGATAGGGCAGTTGCCTAGAATCCACCTTCAGACCAGTGATGTCAGCCTTGCTGAAGGAGAATTATCTCGGACTCTGTAAGGTGAGGAGCCTCCCCTCGGGGCCCTGTCAGCCAGAGACACTGCCTATCCATCTCATCTGAAAACGGGGACACTGCAGCTTCTGCGGAAGCAAGGGCTTCTCGGACATCCTGTGCTGGGGATAGTTCTACTGATGCTCAGGCCTGGGAATCAGCGGATCTGCGCTGGAACAGGCTTTCGAGTGTGAAAATACTGACATACTTCCACGTGAATTGGTAAATAATTCTACCTTTGAGCTCCCAGTGCCTCCCATCCCTCTGCTACTACCGAAGTCTACGGCTGAGAGGGTCTTACTGTGGGTGACGTCATGAGGAGCCCGGCCATTCCCTGCAGCAACGATGAGTTTCCTTTGCTGAACCCGCTTTGTTTCCAACCTCGCGGTACCAGGCGGGCTCCTTGCTGTAGGGCCAGGCACAATTCCAAGTGCCACAGATGTAACCGCCCTGCTCACAGTCTGCACTGTTGGCTGACTCTGATTTTGGATGAAACCTCCAGGCAATTAAAACCTAGAACCCTCCTGCCTGTGGCAAGAACAGGCCTGGTCCTTAAAGGTCACACGGACTTTCCTGCGGGCTGGTCGCTCGGACCCAGATTTGTAGATACCACAGAAACAATCTGTCTGAAGGGGAAAGCCAGACCAAACCGTGTCAGTGCATCTTTCAATTCCATTTCCCCCCTACTGAGTCTAAGCACAGGGGACTCATTTCCATGAAAACAGTAATGCTTTGCTACTTTTATTTGTTATTCCTGCACTAAATATTAGGTGACCACCTATAATGTGTCAGTCCCTGCGACAGTGCTGGATATCCGGTAGTGACTAAAACAGGCCCGTCTCTGCTTTCGTGGGACACACAGTCTGGGGGCAGGACGGGTAATAAAGGAGGCCACCGTGCTTGGAGTGCTGTCCGGTCACCCGAACATGGGTTGCATTTCAGCTCATGAAAACTACCCGGTTGTAACGGTGACTTCCAGCATGTTGTGTACTGATGGTGTGTATCTGCACCACAGAGTGCAGGGGGCTGTGGTACCGCACTAAAAGGTGGGGGAACGAGGACTCCTGCATCCAGTCAAGATCTCAGAGAGGCTAAGAACTGCTCCGGATGGAGGAAGGAAAGGGAGTACGATTCTGAATGAGACCAATAGTCCTGATATGTTCTAACATTTGGAGATCAGATAGGCTGTTCTTAGAGGATGGTAGCCAGTTCTGGAATGAATTCAGTCACAGGGATGGATGAAAGGCACAGCACAGGGAACATGGTCAGTGGAAGGGCAATGGCCTTGTCTGGTGGCAGCGGGTAGCTACACTCGCGGCGAGCACAGCATAATGTGTAGACTTGTCGAATCACTGTTGTACGCCTGAAACTCACGTAACGTTGGGGGTCAACTATACTTCAGTAATAATAATAATAAAGATGGTAACTTCTGACTAGTCCTCTGGAGCGGACAGAATTTCCCTCATGTGTGCTCTCTCTCTTCTTTGTCCTTGAAACCAGGAAACAAACACGTACAGAATTTGCTAGCCAGGATGAGTGGTACAAACCATACCCACAAAACCATGGAGAGCTAGTGGCCTACATAGGAATCAGCTCATGACAACCTTGGCCTCGTTGTCAGAGGCTCCTAACCAATGGAGTGCAGTTGCTACGATTTTGAAAATCGTAATTATATCCCTAAGACGGTCCAGTAGTTGGTTCTACTTGGCAGTACTAATGATTTTTGCTCTCTCTGTTCCTGCTTGTTTGATTGATTTTTTGTTGAGTTATGATGTATACACGGTGAGATGTACAGTCTTATGTGTACAAGTCAGTTTTGACATACGCATATATTCCTGTAACCCACATCCCTTTTCATTTTATTTTAAAAATCTTGGAATCCTCTTAAGTGATGAACATTTGGGTCCAAAGGCAGATTTCTGGAAAGGAATCCCCTATTCAGTCCACCGGCTGCCCCCTCCCCGTGAAAAACAACAACAAAAAATTCTCATCCAATCCTTTCCTGAGTTCCCCAATCACCACAGAGGACTTAAAGCCATAAGAACATTTTGTAATCCCAGCTTTCCGAAACCTAACAGAGAGATTTTGTCATCTGAAAACAAGGGAGAGATTAAGTGCGGAATTTGATTCTGACAACAGCAGAAAGGAACGAGCTAGACAAGAAACGTCATGGAGAATTAGTTCAAGCACCACTGTGCAAACGCTCCACAACCTTTTTCTAGACTCCAAATATGACGCACAGTCCTGGTCAGGGAAGCACAGTTTTTTTAGAGGAGTTTGCTGCAGGGACGTGACATTATCAGGGTGGAAAGTGTTAAAGGAGAGACCCATGTACATTTTTCAGAATTTTGCCTTCAACCCTGCCTTACTCCTTCTGAATGGCCCTCTACACGGCTGCCACGGTCTCAGACCCATCTTCTCGAATTAACTGCCTTCGTATGCCGGGACGTCTTCCCAGCGCTCCAAAACAGCTCTTCTTTCACATCGCTTTGACCAAGGGTTATGCAGTCGAATAATACTACAACATATAATTATTTAATAATTACAATTTCTTGAACTCTTAAGGGCAAGTGAGACATTTTATGTGAAAATGCTCTTGAAGCTCTAAAGGCGTATATAATCCATATAGAGCATTTAAAAACTATTTCTCCGAGACAGGATACTTTGCAGTAACTGTATTCAGCCTTTCTCATTTTCCACATCCAGAACTTTCCCTGTCTTTTTTTTTTTTTAAAGATTTTATTTATTTGCGAGAGAGAGAATGAGAGACAGAGAGCATGAGAGGGAGGAGGGTCAGAGGGAGAAGCAGACTCCCTGCCGAGCAGGGAGCCCGATGTGGGACTCGATCCCGGGACTCCAGGATCATGACCTGAGCCGAAGGCAGTCGCTTAACCAACTGAGCCACCCAGGCGCCCAGAACTTTCCCTGTCTTAATGATGGTATTTCTGAAATATTTCCTGAATCTGACTCAACCTCTACATTTAGTCCTTATTACCTCCCCACCAGACTTAAAATCCATAAAGAAAGGCACAATGGCCATTTATCTACTGCTCTCTTCCTGATGCACATGGGGCACATGGTGGGCACTCACTCATTTTTGTGAAATCAATAGACCTAATTTGCTAAGGTCCTCTAGTCCACTCCACGATGCATCAGAACACAGTTCTGCCTGTGTCATGTACATACTTGTAAAACCTTCAAGGACTCTCTGTTGTTGGTAGAATAAAGGACACACTACTGAATGTCACATTCAAATTCCTTCAGTCTAGTTCCAAGCACCTTTCCAGGCTAGTCTTCTAGCCCTTGTCCACCCCCCCCCCCCCCGCCTGCCCCCATAGAATTCCCAAACACTCCATGCAGGCTCATGCTCCCAAACCTTCACTGAAGCTGTTCCCTCTGCCTGGAATGACCTTCCTTTTACCTTCTTTATTCACCTGGTGGAATTTCACTTCTCCAAACACAGCTCAAATGTCACCACCTTCTCCAGCACCTTCCCCAGCTCCCCCTAAAAGGCCTGTTTTGGTGCTCTCCTACCCAGCTTGTCATTCCCTTATTGCCTGTTTCCCATTACATTATAGTGGCTTTCATCCTCTTTTGATTTTTCTGTGAATTCCTTGAGAGCAGGGACTGAATCTCACCATCATTCCTTAGATATCTCCCGAATCTGACCACTTCTCACCACCTCCCCCACCAATCATTCAAGTTAAGCTGCCAACCTCTCCCACCTGTTCCATGTGACAGCACCTCACCGGATCCATGTTGCCACACTGCCGTCCAACAGAGGACCTGCTGCAAAGCAGCCAATTGTCCTTTAACAATGTAAACAACCATATGCCACTCCTCTACTGCAAACCCGCTAGCGGCTTCCCCTCACACTTAGAAAAAACCCAAAGCCCTCGGCTGTCTGGCCCCTGCCTTCCCCTCTAATTTCACCTGTACCATTCTCTCTCTTGCTCACTCCAGCCCCATTTGTCTCTTTGCTTCTCCTTGAATATGCCAAGCTGTTTTCTCCGCGGCACTTAGGAACCATCTCCCCTCTGCTAGGAAAGCTCTTCCCCTGGATGTATGCATGGCTTGTTCCTTTACTTCGTTGTGGTCCCTGCTCAGATGTCCCCTCCCCAGAGAGGCCCTCCCTAATCACTGTTTAAAAGAGCACCCTCCATTATGCCCTCCTATCTTACCTGCTTCATTTCTCTTCACACTAAACGCCACCAGTTGTCACCATTAATTTCCCATGCATTTATGTAGTTGTTCAGTTGTCACTGAGGAGAGAGACTGTTTTGTTTCTCACCGTGTCTCTCGCGCCTAGAACAGTGCCTGGCAAATAACAGGCACTCAAGTGTTCATGGAATGAATGGATGAATCTGTGTATCCCAGGTGTCTAACATGGTGTCTGGTTCTAGAAATCCTTAAGTGAATGAACAAATTAGCAAATTTTACAAATGATGCGGAATCTTGCCATATATCCAGGATGACCCAGGATCTGAGTGCAAGCATTTCATCCATTCGCTCCATGAACATAATCTTGATTGCTTTTATTTAATATCCTAGGTGATGCACCTAGGCTCCTCACTTTTTTCAGAAATTGGTTGTTGACAGAGGTCCTGCCCAAGAATACTTAGGGGATTTCAGAAAGACAACCAAGGGTGGCACGGCAGGGACTTTTTTTTTTTTTATAAAGATTTTATTTATTTATTTGACAGAGAGATAGAGAGCACAAGTAGGCAGAGAGAGAGGGAGAAGCAGACTCTCCACTGAGCAGGGAGCCTGACGCGGGGCTCGATCCCAGGACCCCGGGATCATGACCCGAGCCGAAGGCAGCCGCTTAACTGACTGAGCCACCCAGGCGCCCTGGGACTTTGAATACCCTTCTGCCCCCCTGCCTCTTGTCAGCTCCTGAGGGATTCTGATAAGGTATTTTATCTCCTGTGATTTATACAGAACGTACACTTGCTGTTAATCCCGCCGAACACAGATTATTCTGAGGGCTGGAACAGGTAGGACAGTGATTGACCCCAAGCTCTGAGAGGGTGGGCCCTTTACACCCTTCGTATCGGGGTGGATGTTGCAGCGAGGCTTCTGGGCGGCTGCAGCGCAGGCTGCCTTAGTGTTTGTGCTTTAGGACCCTGAGTGGCTTTGATATGGCAGTTCGGTCCCTTCTAGGTGAGCTGGGGAACAATTTGCCACACTTTTCGTGTCCACTTTGGCCTCTGGCAGTTGGTTTTCCTGCCCATTTTGTTTGTTCTTAATTCCTTGCATATGGGTATGTAAAAGAAGCAGGCAGTGCAGAGGAGGGTGAACTCTCGGCGGGGGTGAAGTGTAGCATATTGGCAATCTGTCCATCTGTCCTCTTAACGCCAAGCGGTGACCAGATTTGCCTGATTCTCATGCATGGATGGCATCAGGGCCAGAGACCAGAACAGGGAGATCTTGGGAGGTTCACATCCCATCCCCCCCTTCAAATCTCAAGTATCCCATTACTGGAGAAGAGTGGTAGATGGGGCCTCATAAGGTGCAGAGGGAAGGGAACTAACTAGGTTAACTGCCTGTGGGCCATGTTTCAAGTACTGAGCCAGGCCTTTTATGTGCATGGTGTCATTGGATGTTAACCAAGAGTTGGTTAGGATTGTTACCTGCATCTCAGAGAAGAGAAAAACAAGGTTCAGAGAGGTTGATGACACTTGCCCAAGATGGTAAGTGGCAGAGCTAGGATCTGAGATTCCAGCCAGGCCTGTGTGACTCCCTGGCTGCCCACCAAGAGCAAGGATTTCTCTAACATCTGGAAGGACGTGGAGGTGGGGTGCGCGGGGGGGGGGGGGGGCGGGGGGTGCGCGGGGGCGGGGCGTAACAGCTGGAGGGGCAGCAAATGGGTCCTACCTGAAACTTGATCATCACCAGGCCCTGCAAAGTCCTGGTTATACAGATGCCACCTGGCTTCTCTTCTGTTTTGAAAACTGAAAATTCTCTGGCTGATGTACCAGGGTCATCCTGGTCGCACTCCGCGGTACTGGAGTGGATGAAGTGCCCCACAGACACTCCTTCCAGCAGTGTCCTTCCACGCCATTCTGGCTCCGGTGTCTGCGCGTAGGGCCGTCATAGAGTGCCTTCCTCCTCCTTAGGTCGCCAGTTTACTGCACCTCTCTCGTTTCCAAAGTTGTACCCCCTGGGGCATGCACCCCGCCCGCATTTCTGGAGGTTCCGGCGGCTCCGGGTCACTGTGGGAACCTCCGGGTGTGTTAAGAGGCACTGCCGGTCCCCAAAGTCCGAGCATCTTTGGGGCCATTCGCCAAGCCCCTGCCCCAGCGCTCCCGGCGACGCGCCGCAGTGCCCCCTCCGCCGCCAGGGGCCGCCCGGAAGCGGGGCTCCTGGAGCGCGGGGCGGGGAAAGGGGCGGGGCGGGGCGCGGCGGTACCTGGGCCGCCGAGGATCCGGGGGTGGGCTCTCCGGGGACAGCCGGCGGCCCCCCCAGATCCGCATCGCCAGCCGCCGGGAAGCTCGGGGCTCCGGGCGTAGAAGCTGCGCTGTCACATGGGCGGCGGCGACGGGGCCGCATTTAAGCGGCCGGGGGACGGCGCCCGCCTCCAGCGCGTCCTCGGGCTTGGCTCCCGCCGGGCGCCCCGCTCTCTGCCCGCCGGGGGCCCCGCGCCGCGCCGCACCGCGCCGCCCCCGCCGGGCCATGCGAGCGCGGGCCCCGCCGCGATGAGCTCGCACATCGCCAAAAGCGAGTCCAAGACGTCGCTGCTGAAGGCGGCGGCGGCGAGCGGGGGCAGCCGGGTTCCCCGCCACGGCCCTGCCCGGGAGCCAGGGCTGCCTGGCCGCCGACTGCCCGGCACCGGCCCCGGCACGCCGCCGCCGTCCGGGGACCCCAGTTCGCGGAGGCCCCTGTGCCGGCCGGCGCCGCGAGAGGAGGGCGCGCAGGGGAGCAGGCGCGGGCTCCCCCAGGCGCACTGCAGGCCCCGGGAGGCTCTGCCGGCCGCGGCGTCCCGACCTTCGCCGCCGTCGCCGCTGCCGCCGGCCCGCGGGCGGGATGGGGAGGAACGGGGGCTGTCCCCGGCGCTCGGCCTCCGGGGCTCGCTGCGAGCCCCGGGTCGTGGGGACTCCGCTCCAGCCGCCGCGTCCGAGGCAGACCCGTTCCTCCACCAGCTGCGCCCCATGCTCAGCTCCGCCTTCGGCCAGGTAAGGGCCGCGCCTCCCGCCCGCGCTCCCGGGCAAGGCGCTCGGGACCCTGCGCGGCTGCGCGCCCACAGCCCTCCTCCCGCTGCCCGCGGCCCCCGGTCACGCTCCCGGTAGTCCTTCCGCAGCCCTGCCCCCTGGCCGGCACTCCTCCTCCCCCCGGTGCCTGATTCAGCACCCTGTGCGCTGTCCACGCTCCGGGCCTCGCCGCCCTCCACCTGCCAGAATAGGCCAGTCCTGGAAGGGAACGACCGCCTCAAACCGTCTGGAGATTTGCAGGGGTCAGCAGGGGCGCTCCGAGCAGGTGGCGCCAAATCCACTCCTCTGGTCTCCAGCCAAGACTGTCAGTGAGCGACCCAAAGGAGCAAGGGGTTTGGAGTCGGGAGCTCAAGAATGGCTACCTCGGGGCACACAGCCTTGCTTGGGGATGGGGGACGCTGGTCACGGGCTGTGGTGGCCCCAGAGACCTGGGAAAAGTTAGGAGAGCTAGATGGAGACTCAAAAATATGAGAAAAGTGTCTGGGTAGGCACGGAGGGGCTACACAGAGCTATGGCTCAAATCGGAACTTCAGGGGTGTTTTAAGGAGGTTGTCACTCCAGGGATGCCACTAGGATGGCGGTTGGGCACTTGTCAGGTCGTAGGACGTGGAATAACACCCTAGCCTGAGTCGATGTGCGTTCTAGGGTCAGAAAGGTCACTAAGGGGTCACCAGTGGCTACTCTCGTTTCCTCTAGGCCTTTCTCTCCAGGGTCCTGGGCAGCTGAGCATCTGTCCTCTAATCCAGGTCTCCAGTCTGGTGTGCGCTGCTGGGGAGAGAGGTTCGCGGAAAAGAACCTGTGAACCCCCGAGCAAAGCCAGGGTTGCCTCTGAGTTCTGAGTTCATAATTAATTCAAACTCACTGGCACAGCGTTGAGACCGTTCTGCGGCAGCCGAGGAGGGGAGTAATGCAGAGGTCTGATGGCAGAGTTTGCGGGGTGTGTGGAGGAAGAGAGGGCCCTGAGTGGTTCTGTGCTGGGCTGTAGTGTAGAGAAGCCGTTTCAAGCTCCTGGCTCGCCATGCGGGATCGGAATTCCAAGGAGGCCGTGTGTGTGTTCTGCCTCAGATCTGCACATTCCTTTTCAAAATACTACTCCGTGGCGGCTGAGGCCGGTGGGGGTCTGACATGAAGGAGCTGCACGTGGATTCGGGTTGCGCGGGGCTGCTGTGTGGTGTGATAGGGCAGCAATGTGTGGCTTTGTTCCTGTGGGGAGCCCTCGTTAGCCGAGTTAGCTGGAAGCAGTTCTTCAGAGGAGAGATTTGGAGGCAGAGCTTTGAGAGTGTTGAGCGCAGCGACGTGTTGAGGTGGAAGTTCACTGCAGTGGCTTCTGTATTAGGAGGTGTGGGGTGTTCGGGTCTGTGGAGCGGGTCTGGGTCATGGAATCGGTGACATCTGGTCATACATGTATCAGATATTTGGGGGCATCTACTTTGCCCGGGCATTTGTGGGGCACGAGGGAGAGACCAGTGGACACGACAGCCAGGCTTCTGGCTGTTCCAGAGCTTACGATCTAGCAGTTTGTAAGGGTGAGTCCCTGGCCCAGAATCACTCATTTTCTGGTTATTCATTTTGCTGCGAATATGACTTCGTTCCTAGAAAAAGAGCCTCTTCTTTTTCCAGTCTTAACAGAATTTGCCTGCATGGGCCCTTTGTGAGCTCAGAGCATTTCAGCTACCTGCTTTTCTTCCTCCTTCTACTTTCTTAGTCATTATTGAAGACTACTCTCCAGCCCAGTGTTCTGAAATGTCACCAGGGTCACCTGAGTCAGGAAGAGCTGGAAGGTCCTATCAAATATTTACCACCTCCCTCTGGAAGCTCTTGACTATGGAGCTGCAGACTTTTTCTGTAAAGCTCAGCACGTTCAGTTTGGGCTTCCTGCTGACAGCTCTAATGCATCTGCTTGAACAGCAGCGGCAATGACAACAGAACCCAGCCTGGGACTTTTGGGTCAGAGTCTCCAGTCTCTTTTTCTCATGTCTCCCAAGCTCTGGGTTTTTTTTTTGTTTTTTTTTTTTAACCTTAAGTGAATCGCTTAACCTCATTAAGCCTCTGTTTCTTTATCTGCAAAATAGGGAAGATCGTAGTACCTCACTGGGTTTGGGGGAATTAAATGGGACATGGAGATATGTACAGATTTTGGCCAGTGCATGGTCCAGAGCAAGGGCTCTACTGATATTAGTTATTATTATTATTGTTGTTGTTGTTGTTGTTATTGCTGATTAACTACCAAGTGCTGTCCAGGACCTTCTTCCTTCCATTTGTAGTAGAGTCAGGGAGAGCCAGGGCTCAAAGTAACACTGAAGGGACTGAGATAGACTCCCATGTTAGGGGGAACAGGAATTAAGATTCTTTCAGTGACCTCCCAGAGCATCCTTACTGCCTGCAGGCAAATGGTGTGGTTTTGAGTCGAAGCCATAGAATGGTAGCTTGAGAGAAAGTAGAGCTGTAGGTTCCAATCCCAGCTCTGTCACTTCCCATTACTGTGATCTTGGGCCTGTTCTCCTCTCTCTCTTTCTCTGGTCTGGGTTTGTTCATCCAGAAATGAGATTGACAAAAACTACCTTGCAGAGCTATTAACGAGGGTCACACAAGATTAAGGATGTCAAATGGACTGGCTCCAGTATGTTCTGGAAAAAAAGGGTAGCCTTCATTAATGTTATTGTTAATAAAGTAACTGTCTGAATGTGGGCCTGTGTAAGGTACTTTGAAAGCTGTCTCTGAGCAAGGTGAGAAAGGCCATTAAAGGTAGGAGCTGAATGACAAGGGACCTTCCCTAGTACCCTTTTGTGGCCAGCTAAGGACATGCCACCCAGTGGCCTAGAGAGATGTGATATTAGACATTAACTCAGAATAGGCATGATTTGGGGCAACTCTTGGCAATGGGTCTTGTAAAACTATTTTAAGAACAGTTTTTCTGCTCCTTACTCTAAGCTGGGGAAGAAACACCCCTTGTAGAGGAGGCAGATGTGTATAAAACCCACATCTCTGTCCCATCCTTCCCCTTTTTCTAGCTCTAGCGACATCTCTTCTGATTTGAATAGACTAGCCCAATTCCCAAACTGCTTTGCACATAACAAGGTCACAGTATCTAATGGGCAAATGACCATTATCTCCAGCCTCAGGTCTACAGAGGTTTCTTAGTTCCTATAGCTTAGAGGGCTGTGTACCTTATTCACTCCGACCCTGCAAAGTCTCTCCCTACTTGGGCAAGAAGCCCCTATTGCTTTTCCCCTGGGGTCTGGGGAAAGGGAAAGAGAAGGTCATCTTGTGGTTGATATCAATCCTGTGGAGTCCTCCCAGACAGCTGCGTTTGCCTTTAGCTGTTTGGGGGAAGCAGCATGAGTGCTTGAGACCTCAGTCAAGAGCTCACTAAACAATTGCCCAAGTATCTTCTCAGCCACCTGTGAAGGTTGGCATTATCATCCCCGATTTTAAAGGTGAGGAAACAGTCTCAAGAGAGGGGAAATGGCTTGTCCAAAGGCCACACAGTAAGTAAATGGCAGGACTGTGATCTCTAAAGAACTGGTTGGGTGGGAAGTCACAAAAGAGTGTTTCCTATTTGTCAGAAGCATCCACAAAGCACCTCTCAGGTTACGACCCAGCTTTCCCTGAGTGTGTTCACCCTGGGCTGTCGTCCAAGTTTGAATGCTGGTGATAGAACCGATTAGGGCTGGAGGCCAGCCTCCCTCCTAATCAGGAATAATCAGCAATGGGTTTATCCTTCTCATCCCTCTGATCCTATTATTCCATTCCAGAACTCCAAGTGTAGGCTTCCGGAAGCCCAGGGGCTGCTGCCCCAGTGAAGAGGGACAGGAATGTGGGGCTATGTGATGTGCTTTGCTCCTTAGAGAAGCCCCTATTGTTCAGCCCTTTTAAAAACTTTCTGCTAAAGGTCAAGCCTCCCTCTAGATTCCAGTTATGCCTGTCACTCGGGACCACCACGGCCTGCCCTGCCCTGCCCCAAATAGCTTAAGTGAAACTCTGAGTTTGAATCCCTGAGTCTCTTGCTGCCTTCAGCCTCAAGCTAGGGTCAACATCCTTCCCTCTAAAGAAGGATGGGATTTATTCAGAGTGCATGACTTTTCCACGGGTGCCTGGTTTTGCTGTCTTCTGTCTCCTGCTTCCAAGGACAGGCATATTCCAAGGTCGGCAGGCGGGTGCTGTGCTCGGGCTGGCCTGCAGGGGGCAGGAGTCACCAGGTCTGACTGACTGGGTGTTCTGCTGAGTATGGAGAGGCGGGCACAGCTGGCCCTTTAAGACCAACGTTGGGCAGGCGAAGGGGCACCTTCTAGGTACCCGGCACTGTGCCAAGCCCTTTGCCTGTATTATCTCACTGACTCCTCACAACAGCCCTCGGAGGGAAGGGTTATTAGTGTACCCATTTTATAAAGAAACTGAGGCTCAGAGAGATTTACAAGTTCTCAAGGTCATAGAGTTTGCTAGGCAGCAGGGCAAGATTTGAACCCAGGTTTGTCTGCCCCTGCATTCCAAGCTCTTAGTATCCTTGTCCATGGCCCTCAACACTGGCTGCAGATCAGAATAACCTGGAGCACTAACCACCACCAATGTCCAGAGCTCACCTGCACCTATTAAATCAGAATCATCTGCATCTAGCGTTGAGAATCTTCACTTGACGCTGCGCTGCCTTTCCGTATATCTGCCCAGGTAGTTAATATGAATTGGGTTTGTACCTGGAACCTAACTGGATTTCCCTCTGGGGTCCCTGGTGAGCCCCAGCTTGTCAAGAGTCTGCAGATGGTTGGTTTCCTAGGCTTGATCTCCAAGTCTTTCCCGATCCCCCCCAAGACTAAGTGAGATTCCTTTGTCTCACATTCTCAGTGGTTTCGCGTTTCCTTCCCCCTTCATTGCATTTACCGGAAACGTGATTAAATAAGTGCATTCATAGCTCTTTAATAGCTCTTGCCCGCCTGCTAGAATGTAAGCTCCCTGAAAGCAGGGACCAT